TGGAAGGTCCCTTTGGAGACTAATCTGGTCCTGCCACCACTGCAAGCAGGCCTGGCAGCAGAGAATCCCCGTCAGAAGCAAACACAGCTCCCAGAGGAGCAGAGGGAGCAGGGATGTGCGCACCCATCCCAACCCTTTCAACCCAGGTGCAGAGCTCCTGGCCAGGTCACACTGGGAAGGCCCCAGGTCCGTTCCTCAGGGAGCAGCTATCCCCCAGAGCGAGGCCAGAGCCGGGGGGAGCCAGCAGTACCTGTGCTCCACGTAGAGCAGAGGCCGGCTGTCGGCGGGGACCCCGCCCTGGCTCTGCGGGGCCAGCCTGGGCTCCTCCATCCTCTCCAGAAGGCTCTCGATGTCCTCCAGGTCGTTGTCCTCCTTAAGAAAGGCAAAGCCAAGGCATCTGTTACAGGCTGAGTCACAGCAGCCTGCAGGTCACCCAGCACAGAGCACACCCAGCTGCCTCCCTCAGTGAGGGGCTGTGGCTCTTCAGAGAATCCCAGAATGGTTTAGGTTGGAAGGGACCTTAAAGCTCACCTCATTCCATGTCCCATGGGCAGGGACACCTCCCACTATCCCAGGCTGCTCCAAGCCCTGGCCAACCCAGCCTTGGACACTTCCAGGGATCCAGGGGCAGCCACAGCTGCTCTGGGCACCCTGTGCCAGAGCATCACCACTCTCCTCACAGGGAAGAATTTCCTCCCAATATTCCATCTAACCCTGCCCTCTGATAGTGGGAAGACAGTTTCCTTTGTCCTGACACTCCAGGCCCTATTTAAATATCTAAAATATTTAAATAACCAGCCTTCACCCTCTACTGTCCATGGAAAAACCAAGTTACTAAGCTGTGAGCCTCATGACAAGGTCTCAAACACTCACATGACTTTAATCCAAGTCTCCCCTTCCCCATTTTCCAACCACCCCAGGAATCCATCCAGCTACTCACATCCAACAGTTATATAACACTTTAACCCTGATTTCCCTCCATTTTCCCCCAACAAACAACAAGTGACACATTTCTTACGTGCCTGTTTCACATCCTCCTCATGATGTCCATGGGTGGAACACAGAATTCCATTCAGGACACCCAAGCAGCACTGCCAGGCTGCCTTTTCAAGCTAAATTTAGTCCCTGTGCATGGAAGTGCTGGAACAGAGGCTGTATTATCCCTCTTTGGCAAACCCAACTGCCTGGGTCTGGGTGTCCCCCCAGCCTCCAGCTGGCACATGTCCCTCTGCTGCTCAGTATTCCTGGATTGGGACAGGAAACAGGCTCTCCAGGAGGATTCTCCACCTCAGAAACTCACTCCTGAGTGGCATTCCCAGGGAGGAGGTGGCAGCTGGGTGCTGGCCCTGCTGTCATGGCTTAGCCATTCACTCCAGAATCTGATGGCTCAGGATGTTGAGGAAAGAATCTCCCTGGAGTGAACAGGAATGTTGGACTCCACAGTCTGGGAGGTCTTTTCCAACCTTAAGGATTCTGTAATTCTATGGACAGCTCAGACTCAAAGCTCAGCAGAAAACCAGCTGCCACCTGAACCTCACTCTTACTGAATTAAGGAGATCCATGACTTTAATTCATCTGCTACTTCCAGCTCTGGGGTCCCCAGCACTGGTCTCCCTACCCATGGCAGGGGATGGAAAGAGGTGAGCTGTAAGGTCCCTTCCAATCTAAACCATTCCAGGATTCCACGATCCTAAAGAGGCTTCTTTAACTTTAAAATTTGAAATGGCTTTTTTTTTTTGCCTTGAATCTCTCTTACAGTCACCTCAGAATTCCCACTTTGCCAGCCCCACTGGAGGAACCAGCCTGGTTCCTGACTCAGGACACACACACAGACATACCACAGTCTCTCCTGCTGAATTTTTCTTGGTTTTCCTTTTCTTTTTTTTCTTCCGTGGCTTGTTACTTGTTGCCAACTGCAAAGACAAAAGGAAGAGCTGTCAGCATTCCCTGGGGTGCCAGCTCCATGGCAAGAAGAGCATTTCCCACAGGGATCAGCACACTGAGGGTCCTTAAAAGAAACCAAAATTCACCCTTGAGTGTTTGTTAGTGGGTGGAAATCAAGACACATGGAGAAAATGGAGGAAAACACCAAAGATTCACAAAGGGTTAAACCCCAGCTGACTTTCACATCAATGTCTGAGGCTAAAAAACCAGGAGAGAAACAACTTTAGCTGTGTCAGGTGTGGAGGAAATGCTTCAGCCTCCCTCAGTCCCCAGGATAAGCTGCATTTCTGCTTTTCCAGGGTGCAGGACAGTTCCCAATTTCACTCCCATTTCCACAGAAACCAACACCTGACAAAGGCCCCAGTGCCAGGGTGCCTCTCCCCACAGATGCAGCTGCTTCAGCTCAGGATGTTGGCTGGGGGCATTCCCAACCCTGACTGGCACAGCTGGCAAGCACATTTCCAGGGTATAGCAATGGATCACAGCATCATGGAATGGTTTGGGGTGGAAGTGACCTCAAAGTTTATCTAGTTCCTACCCCCTGTCTAAGCAGGGACACCTTCCACTAGACCAGGTTGCTCCAAGCCTTGTCCTGGCCCTACCCCAGGGCCAGGGGGTAGCAGCAGCTCCCTGCCCAGGGCTGCCATGTCCTACCTGGAGCTCTGGGAGCAGCCACAGGTGTGTCCTGCAGTGCTGGCACAGCAAACTCACCAGGTCAGGACCCCTGGAGCCACTGCTCACACAGGGACACACGACCCAGAGCACTCACAGCCCCTGGGCTGGCAGAGGCCACCGGCACAGCTGGAATGCACAGACAGTGGACTTTGCTCCTCTGCCACCCAAACCAGGGACACAAACCCCAAATGCACAGCAAACAAGTGAGACTGAGGGCCAACCCCCTTTTCTCCCCCAGCCCTCTTCTCTGGTGAGATCTGGGCAGGCCTTGCCATGGGAAATTGTTAATTAAATGCCCCTTTCCTTACAAAATCCTGCAAGGAGACACTTCTGGGCTGATGCAGACCACAGGAGGAACCTTGACATCCAATGACAACAAATCACTAAAGGCAAGAAGTGGTTCAGTGCAGCTTCACTGCTGTTTCAGTGTTCAGCTCACACTGCTTGAAGTCCTCACATCCCCCGTTCCAAAACAAATGCCTCCCTGAGACCACTCCTCCCTGGCCTGACCTCAGTGCTCATGTGGACACAGCACAACGCCTTCCTCAGGTGCCTCCTCTCTGCAGCTGGAAAATCCCTCTGGATCCCACACACAAGCCCAGCCCCCAGCACCAAGGTGCTCACCCTCCCCAGATGTGAGTTCCCAGGCTGAAGCTGTGTCCCTGCCCTGCATCCCTGGCAGCAGTTACCGTTCTGTCTGGCTGCTGGGCCTCCTGCCCCTCTCTGTGTCCATCACCATCTGCCTCCGAAGGGCTCACAGCCCCCTCCTTGCTCCTGTCCCTGCTCCCCCGGGGGCTCCCTGCTGCCGTGTCCTGCTCGCTGAGCCGGGTGTCTGCTCGCTCCTCTTCAGCCACCGGCTCATCCTCCGACTCCTCAGCTGGGATCTGCAAACACAGGCACAAGCTGCAGGCATAGAATTCCCCACGGATCTGCTCCAACGCTCCTCCTGCACACAGATGGAGGTTTGGACACCCCTCGTGTCCAGCGTGTCACCCAGCAGCTGCCTGGACAGTCCGGACAGGGAGGGGAGCACAGGACCCCCATGGTGTGTCCCCTCACCCCACGGACTCTGCTCTTCCCCTGGAAGAGCTTCCAAACCCAGCCTTGCCTCTGCTCACACAGCCAGGCCTCGGGGAAGGCCAGGGAATGCCTGGGGCTGCAGGAGGTGTCTGGAGAGCAGGACGGGGCTGTGTCACCCCAAGGACCCAGCAGTGCCACCAGGGCCCATCTGACATCCAGCACTGGGATCCTGCAGTGCTGGGAAGGTGGCAGGGATGTTGCTAAAAACATTTTCACCAGTCCAGCTCTGACAAGACCCAAACCCAGCGTCCCCAGGCCTCTCTCCCATTTCCTCCCAGCCCAGCCCCAGTTGCTGCCCCCCACCCTTCCCACTCAGCACCCAGACCGATCACCCCCACCCCAAACACTGACCCCAAATCACTGCCGTGCACACTGCCACCTCTGCCACCCCCACTGTGAGCCCCCCTCAGTCACTGCCCCCCTCCAGTCACCCCCAAAGCCCGTCAGCCTCTGCCGCAGGTCACTGTCACTCCAGCCACGCCAGTGACTGTCACCTCAGCTGTCCCCCAAGTATGTGTCCCCAGCAATGTCCCCGACTGCCCACCCAGCTGTCACCCCCAGTCACTGCCCCCCAGTTATCCCCCCAGGAACTGTCCCCCAGTCCCTGCCACCCCAGCCGCTGCACCCGGGGCCCCCCGGCTTTGCCCCCCTCACCAGCTCGAAGCGGTTGCTGACGCCGGCGCGGGACGTCCCGCGGGGCCCTTTCCCGGGAGCTGGCGGCGGCCCCCCTTCCCGGGCGTGCTCCGGGCCCGGGTCGAGGCCGAGGCCGAGCTCGCCCAGCCCCGGCCCCTCCTGGCCCCGCTGCTCCCCCCGCAGCCGCCTCAGGGCCCGGCGCGACATCACCCCCGCCCGCTCCGCGCCTGCGCCCACACTGCGCCTGCGCGCCCGCCGCGCGCCGGCCCCGCCCACTCCCACCGCGCGCATCCATTGGCTGATGCTAAGCAGGCCACGCCCCTGCCGCGCCGCGATCTCTGTCGCGCTCCGCGCGTGAGATGTGTCCCGGAGCGGGGACACGGAACGGGACACGGGCACGGCCCCGGGACACGGCTGGGGACCGAGGGACGGGCTGGGGTGGGCCCGCCGCTGGGAGCGCGCAGGGAGTGGGGAGGGGGGCGTGGGAATGGGGAGCGGGGTGTTCCCGCGGTGCTGTGCGGGGTCACGGGTGGGCACAGCCCCGCGGGGAGGAGGGATGGCGGTGGGAGATGCGCACGCTGAAACGGAGTGTCCCCATCCCCGGTCCCCTCACAGCCCGCAGCACCCTTCACCCCGCTCCCCATCCACTCAGGAGCAGCCACGCGGCCCCAGGGCAGCCCAGCGGTTTATTATGGAGGGGTCGTACAGAACAGCCATGCCAGCCCAGGGCACCGGGCACCCCGGCACAGCCAGGGCTTGGCACAGAAGCGGGGCCGGGGGGCGAACGCAGGGGCTGCGGGTGTCCCACAGCAGAATCCATCCCCCAAGAGCTGCCCCGCAGCGGGATCCGTCCTCCCGGGGGGTTGCGGGTGCCCCACAGCAGGATCCATCCCCTCGGGGGCCGGTGGCAGGGACACAGAGGGATGGCAGGGACAGCGGGAACGGCTCCTTTTGCCCCTCGGTCCATAATGTATATAAATATAGAAGCTGTGTGTATCCATCCTATGTATATATGTACATCGGGGCGCTGTGCCGGGGTGATGACCGGCAGCCCCGCGGGGACCGTCACTTGAGCCACGCGTCGCTGTAGAGGGAGCGCGCCTTGGCGTGGCGCCGGGACGCGGCGCTGGCGTTGAGCACGGCCACGCTGCGGCGGCTGGAGCTCACCACGTCCGTCACGAAGCCGGCGCAGTCGGAGCACACGTCGCGCAGCACCGAGCCCTGGGCGTAGATGTGGGGGAATTCCTCCTCCACCCGGCGCCAGCACGGCCCCGAGAGCGAGCTGCGGCACAGGGCAACCCCGTCAGCCCCCGCCGGCGGAGGAGGAGGAGGAGGGGAGCGGGAGGAAGGCTCGGGACTCACTGGAAGGGCTCCCTCCGGCGCAGCGGCGGGGCTTTGGGCAGCAGCGAGCCTGGCAGGCTCTCGAAGCCCAGCGCGTAGACGGGGATGTGAGCCAGCTTCTTGGAAGGCATCTTCATCTGCGGAATGCGGGAGTCAGGGCGGGACAGCGACAGGGACAGGGATGGGATAGGACACGGCTGGGATAGGGATAGGGCACACAGGGGTGGGGATGGCTCAGAGATAGGTACGGTGACAAGGCGGGACAGGAGTGGAGTGGGATGGGGCAGGGACAGGGAGAAGACGGGGCAGGAGAGGGGCAGGGACACAGTGGCACTGCCCAGAGCCTGTCCCTTACCTTTAGACTGCAGGAGCTACAGACAGACCTGGGGACACAGAGAGAGGTGGGTGAGAGGGCCCATCGTGGGGACCCTGCTGCTCCCCTCCCAGCCCCGTGACACGGCCCTGCATGGCACAGCTTGGCACAGTTTGGCACAGTTCGGCACAGTGCTCACCGCTTGCAGAAGAAACACGACGTGGGCCAGGAGAAGAGAGGAAACTTGGCCCTGCAGCAGCAGCAGACCTGTGGGCAGAGCAGGGTGAGCTGAGGGTGGGTGGGTGGGGACACGTGGCCCCCAGTCCATCCAGCCCCCATCCCCATTCCCACCTTCCCCCTCCGCAGGCTGCTGTAGAGCTCCTTGCTCTGCAGGAACTTCTCCATCTCAGCCTTGACCAGCACCCTGCGCACGTTGATCATCTCCTCCACAGTCAGGGCCAGGCTCTCCACAGGGTGGCTGAACTCCTGTGGGACAGGGGGGATGTCACACTGCACTGTGGCACAGGGCACGGTCCAGAGCACTCCTGTGCCAGGGCAGAGCCTCTGAACATGGGCAGAGCATCCCTGGCACAGGCAGAGCACCCCAGAAGAGGCAGAGTATCTCTGGCACGAGGACCCACCCAGCCACCATGTGTCCTCGAGCCAGGCTGCCATGTGCCCATGGTCATGTTTGCCTGGTGTCCCCAGCTCCAGTGCTCCCAGCTGGTGTCCCCAGAACCCACCAGCCAGAGGTGCTTGGAGCTGCTGGCAGGGCCAGCGCCGGATCCATCCTCTGGCCTCTCCTCCAGGGCGCCGAGGGCAGCCCGGGGCAGTGCTGGGCCATCTGGCAGCGGGTGGCAGCTGGCAGGGACGGAGCCTGCAGGGAGGGACAGGGAGGCCGTGGCAAGGACGTGTTGCCTGGTGCCACCACCGCTGACAGGCATGGCACAGACCCCCTGGAGACAGGCTCATGGGGACCCCCGGCAGTACCTGAGCGGGGACGGAGCTCGGGCTGCAGTGGCTCTGGGTCCCTGGGCACAGCCTGGTCACCTCCCAGCTGGCTCTGCAGCTGTGCCAGGTCCTGCTCCGAGAAGGAGCGATCCCGCTTCAGCGGCACCTCTGTGGCCGGAGAGTCCTCGTCCTGCAAGGCCATGGGTACCGTGGCACCAAGGGCACCCCGGCACCCCCCGTGCGTCCCCACCTCTGCAGGTTCTCCCTTGCCTCGGAGAGGTTCATCTCCTCCATCTCGGCCAGGGTGGGCGCCTTGAGCAGGACGCGTGGCCGTGGGCGCGCGGGCACGGCGCTGGCCGGGCACCGGGACAGCTCGAGGCAGGAGCTGGAGCTCAGGCGGCCGGCGCAGGCGTGTGGGATGCAGGGCAAGGAGCTGTATCCTGCGGAGGGACAGGCTCAGCGCCCTGGGGATGTGTCACCTGGGACAGGTGACACAGCACAGCGGGGAGGGGACATCGGTACCTTTCTGCTCCACAGGCCGGAGCTTCCGCTCCTGCCTGATCTCCTCCAGGATCTTCTCGTGGAGCGTCCTCTGCTTCTGGGGCAGCGGCCGCAGCCGCCGCTCTGATGCCTGTGGGATGCACGGATGGGACCTCAGGCACGGCCATGGCTCAGGAATGGCACCCATGGGAGCCACCAACACTGTCATGCCAGGGAGGTGGCCCGGTGCTGGCACTCACCTGCTTCAGTGGGGGCCGGGAGCGGATGAAGTCCAGTATGAGCTCGTGGGCATCTTTCTTCACCCGGGGGGGGATGTCTCCATCCACCTGGGGAGGGCAGGGGGTCAGTGCTGGGCTGGAGAGTGGCAGGATGGAGGGTGAGGGGCTGGCACGGTGGCCACGCTCACCATGACCTTGCGGAGTTTGTAGTTGCGGGCACGGATGTCCTGCATGAGCATCTCGAAGGGCGTGAGCTGGTACTCGGTGGGCAGAGGGTTGAACTGCTTCTCCTGCACCTTCTTCAGCTTCACACCGTGCCGCAGCTCCCGCATCAGCTGCACCCAGAGCCGGGCCTGGGGGGACACACGGACACGGGGTCAGCACCCACCCCTGCCCAGCACAGCCCCCGTGCCCTGCCACGCTGCCGTACCCAGTCTGTGTTGCGCAGGTTCCCCAGCTCCGCCGCTGGCCGCTCCTCCTCTTCCTCATCCTCCTTCAGCTTCTGCAGTAGCTGTTGAGGCACAAGATGCTGTCACCTTGTCCTGGTGGCGCTGAAGGTCCAGCCAGGACTGTGCCAAGGGGCTGCAGCACTGAGGTGCACCCCAATTCCTGATTCCCAGCCAGCATAGCAGTCTGGGAGAGCCTGCACGGCCAAACACCGGCACCAGCAGCCCTGCCTGGGATGGGCAGAGGGGGCACCGCAGCCTCCCCAGTCCATTGTCCCTGCAGGCAGTTTCCTGGGCAGGGCCGTGGTGCCGGCGGGCACCCTCGCTCACCTCCTTGGCATCGCGGATCTTGGCGAGGAAGGCCATGAGCTCCACGGTCTCTGCGAAGAGGGCTCGGCACACAGCCTGGTAGTGCGCGGGGGCGCCGGCGGGGTCGGCCAGGCGGGCGGCGCAGCAGCGCATGGCCTGGCCGAAGGTGCGCACGGAGCGAGGCGGCCCCTCGCCCCCCTCCTCCTCCTCATCCTGCCCCCCATAGCCCTCGTCGGCCGTGGCGCAGCCGCTGTCCTCCGAGTCGCTGTTGGTCATCAGGTCGATGAGCTGCTCCAGGCGCGGGCTCAGCTCCCGCTCCTCGTTCTCGTCCAGTCCCCAGTCCAGCGCCCGGTACACGGCAAAGCCCAGAGACTGCACCATCTGCGGGGGACAGCAGGAGACCTGGCACCACCTGTCCCCGACCCCTCCTTGATGCTGGGTCCCGTCCCAGTGACCCCCGGGTGAGGGGGCCAGGCGGCCGTGCCCAGCCCATAGCGGGCTGCGATGGCAGACGGGGCAGGTCACCGGCCCCCACGTACCTGGGCTTCGGCAGAGGGCGTCAGCAGCGCGGGCAGGTCTGGGGGAGGAGGGCAGAGTCACCACTGGTACCCACGGCCCCGTGCTGAGTACCCCACCCCGCATCACCCAGGGATGTGGTACCCACCCACTCCAGCCGTGGGACCCCCGCCCTGAGCTGCTCACACCCCCTGCTGCTCCTCCCCCCTTCCCTGGCTCATCCTGTGCTCTCCCAGTCCCAGGGCATGGCTCCCAGGGACAGTGGGCCCTGCACGTTGAGCCCTGCGATCACACCGTGCTGGCACAGCCCTCCCAAAGGGCACATTGAGGGGGCACAAGCACCCATGTACCCCTCACGGTGAGGGCTGGAGGGAGCTGAGAGCTCTGTGTGCATGAGGAGATGCCCCCTGCACCCCTGTGGGATGTGGGCACCGGCAGTGTGGACACCAGGAGTGTGGGTACAGCAGCACAGGCACCAGCAGCGTGGGGACTGGCAGCCACAGCTGGAGCATGGCACACACGGGGAGCCCAGGACATGCTTGTGGGCAGCTTGAGCCCTCCTGGCAGCTGCAGGAAAAGGAACACAAGTGGCCTCTGCAGTGTCCCCAGGGCTCCCAGCTCCGCTTCCCTCATTAGCTCTGCATTGAGCTGATCAATGCGGCAGCCACCAGGATGTGCCAGTCGTGTGCCAGCCGTGTGCAAGGTAGGAATGGACAGGAAAGGCAGCACTAGTGGTGGCCCTACCGTCGTGCCACACACAAGCCATCAAAAAACCATCAAAAAACCATGTCCTGGACTGTGCCCGGCTCCCACTGCAGCACCAGCCCTTGTGATGCCACCTGGTGAGTCCCAGCAGCTCCTGCCAGTCACTGGGGCACAGTTGAGGGGGGAATTCCCATAGGATGGGGGATTGGAGCGGTTCCAGAGGGTGCTGCTGGCTCACCCAGCCCGGATCCAGCCCTGTGCCCTGGCAGAGCTGCACTGCCACCTGCAGTGGCACCCAGAGGCACCCGGAGCCCTCCCAGCCCCAGGCTTCACTGTGAAGGCTTCTCTGGTTCATCCCTGGGGAGATGGCTCAGGTTGGCACAGAAGCAACCCAGGAGCAGGAGGTGGCACAGTGGCACTGGCAGGTGACACCGGCTCCAGCCCTGCGGTGGCTCAGGGCAGGGCGTGGGGCCATCCCATGCAGGACCAGTGGAGCCGGTGTGGCCACGCCATGCCCGGCTGCCACGGGCACGTGCCATGCCTGTGCGTGTCCCTGCCCTGGGCATGGAGCCACCTGATGCTCCCTGGCGTCTGCTCAGCCACCAGGACCGAGGACACACGGTGACCCCGCCGTGTCCCTGCCCAGTGTGGGCACACAGCGACCCCACGACACCAGGTGCCATCCCCGGTGGCCTCGCTGTGGGGCAGGACAGGTGGAGGCGCCGGCCGAGCTCCAAGTGCTCCTCGTGGCGTCCGGCCACCCGGTGTCACTGCTGGCAGCCAGCCTGGTGACACCCGGAACCGTCACAGCCATACCTGGCAGGGCGAGCCACCTGTGGAAGGATGGCTGGGCGGGCAAAGGTCAGGGATGGGGCTGTCCCGTGTGCCACTCCCAGGGCCTGGAGTGGGGGACAAGGTCCCCTGCGGTGCAGATGGGGGTGACGGGTGCCGTGGATGTGCCGTGTGGGTGTCTGTCCGTCTGTCCTTGCTGTGTGTCCTGCAGCCCCGTGGTGGGTGCCAGGACCACGAAAACACCCACACCTGGCTCCAGCCTCCCTGGGTCACCCAGTGCTAGTGACCTTGTTGGTGCCACTGCCAATACCAGTGCCACACCAGTCCAGACCCCCAAGTCACCAGCCCACCCCCGCCCCCAGGCCCCAGGGCACCCCTGGCACGGATACCGGCAGTGCTGGTGCCAGTCCCCCTGCCAGGGCCGGGGCTTGGGGCTCACCCTCGTCCCTGCTGGTGCCACCTTCCCGCTCCCCGGTGCTGGGACCGACCCTTTTCCCTGTCCTCACAGTCTCTCTGGTGACCCCCTGCACTCTCCCCTGCTGCCGGTGCCTCGATGCCTGCTTCCCTCTCTGGCGCCACTTCGGCCCATCTGCCTCTCCGGTACCGGTTCTTCCCCGCCGGGGCCTCTGCGGGTGCCCCCCCGCTGCCGATACCCCCAGTCCCTCCGCGTCCCCGACGCCGGTGCAGCACCCCCTGCCGGTGCCGGTAAGTCCCGGTGCCGGTAAGTCCCAGGTGCCCGCTCTTTGTGCTGGTAAGTCCCGGTGCCCCGGGTCCCGGTGCCGAGAAGTCCCGGTGCCAGTAGGCACCGTAGTCTGCTCCCGGTGCCAGCAAGCACCGGGGCGGGTAAATCCCAGCGCCTCGCTCCTTGCACCAGCAAGCCCTGGTGCCGGTAAGTCCCGATACCCCGGATCCCGGTGCTAGTTAGCCCTGGTGCCGGTAAGCTCTGGTGCCACCCGTGCCGGTAAGTCCCAGTTTCCCGTTCCTTGTGCTGCTAAGCTCCGGAGCAGGAAAGCCCCGGTGCCGGATCCCAGAGCCGGTAATCTCCGGTGCCCCGCTCCCGGTGCCTCGCTTTCGGTGCCGGTGAGCCCCGGTGCCCCGCTCCCAGCGTCGGTAAGCTCCGGTAAGCCCCAGCGTCAGTGCGTCCCAGTGTCGCGGGTGTCGGTGCCGGTAAGCTCCCCTAAACCTTGGTAAACCCGGTGCTCCGCTGCAGCGGTGCCGATAATTCCCAGTACCGGCAAACCCTGGTGCCCGCTCCCGCTGCCCGTAAGCCCCGGTGCCCCGGTGCGCCCCGGTAAGCCCCAGCAAGTCCTGGTGCCCGTAAGCCCCGGTAAACCCCGGTAAGCCCCGCTTGGCGGTGCCGTCCCGTCCCCCCCCCGCGCGGGCGCCGCCCGCTCCCGCCCCCCCCGGCGGCGGCGGCCCTCACCGTGGTTTCCCGTTCCTTGTGCTGCTAAGCTCCGGAGCAGGAAAGCCCCGGTGCCGGATCCCAGCGCCGGTAATCTCCGGTGCCCCGCTCCCGGTGCCTCGCTTTCGGTGCCGGTGAGCCCCGGTGCCCCGCTCCCAGCGTCGGTAAGCTCCGGTAAGCCCCAGCGTCAGTGCGTCCCAGTGTCGCGGGTGTCGGTGCCGGTAAGCTCCCCTAAACCTTGGTAAACCCCGGTGCTCCGCTCCAGCGGTGCCGATAATTCCCAGTACCGGCAAACCCTGGTGCCCCGCTCCCGCTGCCCGTAAGCCCCGGTGCCCCGGTGCGCCCCGGTAAGCCCCAGCAAGTCCTGGTGCCCGTAAGCCCCGGTAAACCCCGGTAAGCCCCGCTTGGCGGTGCCGTCCCGTCCCCCCCCCGCGCGGGCGCCGCCCGCTCCCGCCCCCCCCGGCGGCGGCGGCCCTCACCGTGCGGCGGGGCGGGCAGGCGGAGGGAGCCGTCGGCGCGGAGGCGGATGTCGGCGGTGCGGAGCGGCGCGGGGGCGACGGGGGCGGCGGCGGCGGCGCGGCAGCCCTGGAAGCAGAGCGCCCAGGCCTGCTCCTCGTTCAGCGGCTGCTCGTAGCACTTCAGCACCTCCTCCAGGGACAGCTCCCGCGGCGGCCCCGCGCCCGCCCGCGCCATCGCCCCATCCCGCACCGCCGAGCGCGGGCGGGGCGCGCCGGGCGGGGGAGACGGGGCGGGGCGGCGCGGGGCCACGCCCCAGCAAGCCACACCCACACCCGCTCCTCATCAGCACCGCTGGGCGCGCGGAGGGGCGGGGCCAGGAAGGGGAGGGGCGGGGCTGTGGAGAGGCTCCGCCCTCCGCGCCGACACCGGTACCGGCACCGGCACCGGCCCCGCCGCAGGCGCCCGCCGGGAGGGGCCGCGGTGGCGCCGGGGGGCACTGGGCGGCTCGGGACGGCGTGGACCGGGCGGTTCGGGATGGCACCGTACAGTAACGGTACGGTACGGCGGGGCACGGCACGGCGCGGTGAGCTCGGTACGGCCTGGCATGGCACGGTATGGCACGGTGTGGCGCGGAACGTTACAGCACGGCTCGGTACGGTGTGACATGGCTCGGTATTGTTTGGCACAGCTTGGGACAGAATGGGATGGGGCAGCAGTGTGTGGCATGGTACAGTATGGTGTGGCTCAGAATGGCACAGCTTGGCATGGCACGGCACAGCTCGGCTCCGCATGGCTCAGCAGGGCACATCAGAGCTCAGTGCCATGGCACAGCTCGGCACGGCATAGCTGAGAATAGCACAGAAGAGCTCGGTACCAATGGCATGACATGGCACAGCACTGCTCAGCACGGTGTGGCACGGCACAGCACCGCTCAGCACGGTGTGGCACAGCACAGCACCGCTCAGCACAGTGTGGCACGGCACAGCACAGCTCAGCACCGTGTGGCACGGCACAGCTCAGCTCAGCACCGTGTGGCACGGCACAGCACCGCTCAGCACGGTGTGGCACGGCACAGCACCGCTCAGCATTGTGTGGCACGGCACAGCACCGCTCAGCACGGTGTGGCACGGCACAGCACCGCTCAGCATTGTGTGGCACGGCACAGCACCGCTCAGCACCGTGTGGCACGGCACAGCTCAGCTCAGCACGGTGTGGCACGGCACAGCTCAGCTCGGCCAGCCCAGGCTGCAGGGCTGGGAGCAGGGAGCGGCCGCACTGGGTTAGCTGGGTGCAGAGTGCAGGGACCAGGGCACACCGCAGGGCACAGGGCACGGATTGTGGGACATGTGATGGGGGCAGTGCCCACGGGTGCAGAGCAGTGGTGGGTGACACCCCGAGGGACACGAGACCCCCCTGTGCCCCAGGAGGAGCAGGGTGGCCCTGGAGCGTGGCTCAGCCCCAGCCCTGGCTCGTCCCCATTGAGCCCACGTGCCATGTGTGGGGCAGCACGTGCAGGGACACCATGGCCTTGGCACCAGGGTCACCTGGGGACACACGAGCAGGAATCAGAGCAGGAGCACAGGATGCCAGTGCCCACGGGGACTCCTGACACGAGGTACCTGCCTTGTGGGGTGTGGGGGGAGCCCTGGGGCACTCAGCTGGGATGAGGAGCTGGCACAGGGAAGGGGGCAGGCTGGGACAGGAGAACTTCCTGGAGGGAAGGACAAGAGCTTCAGGTGCCAGAGCGTGGTTTGGGCATGGCCAGGAGCAGCAGGAGCTGGGTGATGGTGCCAGGATGAGCTGCAGTCTCTAGGGAGACAATGCCCCATGGGAATATGGTGTGGGGTTGGCATCCCACAGCCACTGGGGAAGTCTGACACGAGAGCAGGATCACCTTTGGGCACCAGCTGGTCCCTTCAGACACACAGGGAGGGCAGGATTGTCCTGACAGAGCAGAAAGGACAACCAGTGCATGGGAAAGGTCAGAGGGAGCAAATGAACACTCTCGTCATGATGAGCTTCCCATTTCCATGATGGAAGGAGAATAAAACCCTGGCTCAGCTCCATTAACCGATGAGCATAAACTGGGATCAATCCCAGAGCTGTGCTGGCAGGGCTGGGACAGGGACAGAGCTGCCACACGGCCAAAGAGCTGCTCCAGGCCTGGAGATGTCTGTCAGAGAGCCTGGGATGGGGCAGAAAAGCCCTTCAGTGCCCATCCCAGAGAACATGAACACTGCCAGCTCCATCTTCGGGAAAAAAAACTGGGGTGATGGAGCTGGGATACTGGGAAACACAGCCCTGCGTGGTGCCCAGGGGTTTGAGAAAGGGCAGAAGGGATGCGGGCGATCCAAGGTGTCCGTGCCTCTCCGGGAAAGCTCACATGCGCCGTGGGTGGGTGGCACCGTGCAGCAGGGAGTGAGGAGCGCGGTGCCAGCTGCATCTCCAGCCGGTTCCCTCGGGATCCTGCCCGGCTGCAGCGCCCGGAGCGGCTCCTGGCCGCGGTGCCGACATCTGGCTCTGGATTGAGAGGGTAGGATGCCCGCTTTACCCTGGAATCAGCCGCTTCAGTGCCGGGAACAAAGCCGTGCCGTGTCGTGCCGTGCCGTGCCAGCTTTCCAGCGCCTCCGGACACAGCCGGGGCGGCACCGTCGGGGATGGGAGCGGGAGGACGTGCGGCGTTTGAAGGAAAAGCCGCCCTGCAGGATTCATGGGAAGGCATTTGCATGATAAAGCACGGAGCCCTTTGCTTAGGGTAAATCTGTAATTAATACTGAATCGTTGTGTAATTAAAAGCTACCGGCACGGAAAACTCGAACAGAAGCCAAGCGTGTGTGTGGAAGAGGGAAATAGAATCAAAGCCAAAAGAAATAGGGGGAAAAGAAAGATGAAGTGTTTGGGAAATGGTGTCAGAGCGCTATGGGAGGGTTGGAATTCTTGGCTCCTGCAGTGTGGAAGCAGGATGAGGTGGGGAGCTGGGATGGAGAGCAGGTAGAGCCCTTCCCCAGCCGCCTGCAGCAGGGCTGTGCCCCTGTTTCCTCGTGGATAATCCATCCCCGTGGGTCTCAGCTCTCATACGCAAAAAAAAAAAAAAAAAAAAAAAAAAAAAAAAAAATCCTTACAAAGCCACAGGAACCTGGGATGAGCACACAGAGCACCTGTGGGGTGGATGTGCCTCTCCTGCTTTCCCTCCATGCTGCAATAAACTGGGAACATGGAAGGAGGGAGCACTTTACTGGGCAGTCTGCTCCTGCTGTGTGCTGGCCTCGGATATGGCCAGAGTTTGAGGGGGGACACTGAGAGACACCTTGGGGACATTTGTGACCACCCTAGAGGCATTTTAAACACCTTTGGGGACCTCAGGGACACCCTGGGGACACCATGAGGACCTTAAGGTCACCCTTGGAAACTCCCTGAAGACCCTGAAGGCATTGCAAGGACCTTGGGAACACCCTTGGGGACGCTGGGAATGAACTCTGGGAGCACTCTGGAGAGCTGAGCTCCCAGTCAGATGCATGCTGGGGCCAGTCATGATGGGGGATCCCAAAATCTGGGGCTGACACAAGCTTGCAGATGGCATTGGGGGTTAAGGTGACTCGGGAAAGTGACCTGGCCAGGGTTCCCAGACTCGGTGGCATCCCATGGCACTGCCCATGCTGGATCCGTGCTGGATCTGCCGGCACTGCTGGGAAGTTCTCCCGGCTCCTGGCATCATGTGCTGCTGACTCACACCCAGCACTGCAATAAGCCATCCACGGCCAGCCCAGCAGGAGCTGCTTCCTGGTGCTGGACACACCCTGGGGACTTCATCTTTCCACAGGGAATCACCACTGCTGCTCCAAGACATGGTGGCCAAGAACAGCGCTTCATCGTCAGAAAGGATGAGATCCGAGGGAAAAATCCCTCTGGGAATTCTGCTCTGTGAAACTTTGTGGCCACTCAGGACTTAAAGAGATCTGAGGAAAAAGAGGGAGAGGGGTTTTGGACAAGGGATGTAGTGCCAGGACAAGGAACAAAGCCGTGCCGTGTCAGAGGGCAGGGATGGATGGGATATTGGGAAGGAATTCCTGGCTGTGAGGGCGGGCAGGCCCTGGCACAGGGTGCCCAGAGCAGCTGTGGCTGCCCCTGGATCCCTGGCAGTGCCCAAGGCCAGGTTGGACAGGGCTGGGAGCAGCCTGGGATGGTGGAAGGTGTCCCTGCCATGGCAGGGGTGGGATGAGATGAGCTTTAAGGTCCCTTGCAGCACAAGCCACTCCCTTCCAATCCAAACCATTCCGCAATCCCATTATTAATTCTCCCAGCAACGCTGGTGATTCATCTCTTTGGGAATTCCAGCCGATCTTGTCCCATTCCCTGGGTGGGATCGGGGTCAGCAGCATCCTCACGGCTCAGAACCGGTAGGATCGGAGCTCCTCACCGTGCCCACACGCTCCACAGCGGGGCGGAGCGGCTCTCCTCACCGTGCCCACACGCTCCACAGCGGTGCGGAGCGGGTCTCCTCACCGTGCCCACACGCTCCACAGCGGTGCGGAGCGGCTCTCCTCACCGTGCCCACCGCCCGTGTTTCCCCACGCCCGCCGTGTCCCGCTCCCGCCGCCCTTCCCAATATGGCAGCGCCCGCCTCATTCACCTCAGAGAGGTCGGCGGGGGCGGGGCCACGCCGCTCTTCCAACCAATGGGTAGAGGCGGCGGGGTGGGCGCGGCACGGCCTCTGCTCCTTCCAGCCAATGGGCGAGGCGGGCTCGGCCGGCGGTAGCCAATGGCGGCGCGGGCTGGCGCGGCGGGAAGGTCGGCCCGCGATGGCGGGCGCGGGCTGCAGGAGCTGGCGGGACCTGCTCGGTACGTGTGGGCTGAGGCGGGCCCGGGGACAGCAGAGGGGACGGGGGGCGTGAATGTCCCCCCTCTGCCTTCGTACACCCCTTCTCTCTCCCTGCACACACCCCTCCCTGTGCCCCCGTGTCCCGCTTCATGCACCCCGCTCTGCTTTCCTCAAAGCCGCCGCGCCCCGGGACACAACATCTGCCCTCACGGCCCCCGTGCCCC